CTATAAATCCTTTATATGCGTGGCATCGGGGCGGCTAGAGTCCTCTCGTCCTCTGGCTTGAGATGGCTGCCACCTATGGGTCAGATGATTGTCTGCCACCATTAAGCAATTGGTAATTAAATATTTAAAAAAAATTTACCTAAACAGTGTAAAATTTTGCACATTTTTTTCACGAAAATTAATTGTCACGCACAACGAGTCTGTGTGCAAAATGTCAGCTCGATTGGATCACGGGAAGTGGGTTAAAACACGACCGAAATATTTGCACGGTCGTAAGCAAGCAAGCAAGTTAACTTAATATAAAGGATTTAAAAAAAGAGCTTTAAAGCTCGTCGGATTTCCCCTCCTGCAGTATAACTAAATACACTGGTCAACAAATAAAAAATTCTGGCCTGGACTTTTGCAGCTGTTCTAGACTAATTTCAAGGTGCTGATTCCAAATCTGATCTCAGATTTGCTCCATCACATCTCATTTTCATGCTATCGGCATACCCCATTTTCATTGATTTTACCCTAAATTAACTCTGTCACTTATGATTGCAAGTTGTTGCGAGTCAGTGATGGCTTTAGTGTTAAAATATGGTGCTGTATTTTTAGGATAGTGTGTTTATAATATCATTTTATGTAGATATCCACATTTATTAAATATTTTTCTTCCGCAATTTTTATTGAAAATGCAATATTTGATATCTCAAAAACCTGATGCGATAGACAAAAACTGATGCCGGATTTGCAATCAGCACCCCAAAATTACCTTAAAACCGTTGGAATACCTTATGCCAGAAAAAGTGTTGACCGGTGATATACTGATTCCGATTCTGCTCGTGTTTGCTGCACCACAACCTTGGGTTTTCTCCCTGAGCGGAGAAGTCACCCCACGTCAATTGTCACGACCATTGTTGGCCAACATATCCCAGCGCTTGCCAAAAAAAAAAACGACTCATTTGGGATCGTACGGAACAGCAGGAGCAGCAGCAGCAGCATCCGCCCCCACCACTACTACTGTGGATAACTTGGCAGGATCCTCGTGAAAGAGAGAGAGAGATGATGATGAGACTCTCCTGGCTAACAAGCTTAACTTAAATAACGAACTTTCATTCAGCCGTTTGTTGACTCATTCGTCCATCCGTGAACGGGTGACCGAATGAGTGACTGATCTGGTGAATGAATGAGTGAATGATCGGGTGATCGAGAGGGTCACTGGACGGGTGACTGAATTAATGAGTAAATGAAAGGATAAATGAATGGGTGAATGACTGTACGGGTGACTGTACGGGTGACTGAACGGGTGACTGAATGAATGAGTGAATGAATGGGTGAATGACTGAACGGGTGACTAACGGAATGTGTGTGAGCGAGCGGATCAATGAACGAACGAAGATGTCTCTCTCTGTGTCTCTCTCTGTCTCTCTTTTTTTCTCAATGTCTCTCAATGTCTCTCTCTGTCTCAATGTCTCTCTCTGTCTCAATGTCTCTCTCTGTCTCTCTCTGTCTCTCTCTGTCTCAATGTCTCTCTCTGTCTCTCTCTGTCTCAATGTCTCTCTCTGTCTCAATGTCTCTCTCTGTCTCTCTCTGTCTCTCTCTGTCTCAATGTCTCTCTCTGTCTCTCTCTGTCTCAATGTCTCTCTCTGTCTCAATGTCTCTCTCTGTCTCTCTCTGTCTCTCTCTGTCTCAATGTCTCTCTCTCTCTCTGTCTCTCTCTGCCCACCTTTTCCAGCCTGGTTCAGAATCAGAATATTTATTCAGACTGCGGGAGAAGGAATCAGAATAGCTATAAAGCTACGTCCAGTACGGGGGGCACGGGGCCCGAGCGTTGCAACAACAAACAAGACCAGAAAACACGACGGGGGTATACAAACAATTGTAAATAAGTCACCAACATATTAATAAACGATGAATGAAAATAAATAATAAAATAAAAAATTTTACATAATTAAATAATTCTCACGACGTTTCGGCCACAACGCAAGCAGCCGTCCTCAGGTGAAGAACAGGTCTGTCGAGACGCTGTCTTCCATTCTACGTGACTTTACCAAAAGAACCAAGAAGATGAATCCCTGCAGTCACGAAAGCTTTAAATCAAAATAAAAGATTAATGAATAATTTGCATGAGTCCGATTTATCAACATTGGGCCAAGGTCGCGCACAAGAGAAACCAAATAGTCCCAGACCACAGCAAGATAACAACCTCATGTAGGTGGTAGTAGTAGTAGTAGTGGTGGTGGTTCCTCGTTGAAATGGCGTGCAAACATTGAGTTTATCGATTAGCTACGCAGGGCAATGGTCAAAGTTCGCAAACCGCATTGGCAAATGTGACTGCTGTGTCCGCCACTGACCCTCTGCTTCAGGATGTGGGTTATTTGTTTGAGGGATGGTTGATGAGGCAGCGCCAGCCCGGGCGTTTCTACTGCACGTGCACGGTGAACTTCCTTCGCGCCGTGCGTAGCCAACCGCGCTAATCGGAAGTGTGGGGGGAAGGACAACAAACTAAACGCAACAACAAGCACTTCTAAATAAATGAGTTTGTCAACCTAGATGATGATTTCAAAGTGCAGCACAGCTCCCAGTGGCTTCTGAATATCGGTGAGGAAGGAACGTTCCAGACGGCCGCAGAAGCGCATCTGAAAGCGCCGCGCGACGACGATGATGAAATAGTTTTCAATGTAGTCTAGTAGGGTAGTGTATAGTGTAGTGTCAAGTAAAGTGTATAGTAGTGTAGCGTCTAGTAGTGTATAAAGTAGTGTATAGTGTAGTGTCTAGTAGTGTAGTATGTAGTGTATAGTAGTATGTAAGTGTACGTCAAACTTCTTTCGCACCGTGCGTAGCCAACCGCGCGAGTTGGAGGTGCCGGGGGAAGGATAACAAACTGAACACAACAACGGCAACAACAATCAGTTGTAAAGAAATGAGTTTGTCAGTGCAGATGATGTACAAGTGCATAGCTCCAGTGGCTTCCTGATACCGGAGCGTTCCGCAATCAGAATCGGTATTGACGCTGGAGGAATCCGATGAGCTATAAAGCTCTTTTTCCCACAGACCTCCAGGCGTGCCACAAGAAGCCAGCGCTGGCGTTCCTGTTGCTTGGACGACTTAAAATTGGTGCACTCCCCCCCCAACCACCCCCCACCCCTCACCCCCACCTCCACCCCACCCTCCCCACCCAGTCCCACCCCACCCACCCCTCCCCCCCACCCTACCCTCCCCACCTACTCCGCCCCCCACCCACCCCCACCCTCCCCATCCACTCCCCTCCCCACCCGCTCCACCCACTCCGACCCCACCCACTCCCCCCACCCTACCCCCTCCCCCCCACCCTACCCTCCCCACCTACTCTGCACCCCACCCACCCCCACCCTCCCCATCCACTCCCTTCCCCACCCGCTCCACCCACTCCCCCCCCACCCACTCCCCCCCCCCACCCTCCGCCCCGCGTGGCCCGCCAGGTACGGCAGCCACCCGGCGTTCCACCGCTACCGCACGAGCTCCGGGCAGGCGCTGCCGCTGCTCTACGTCTACGACTCGTACCTGACGGCGCCCGACGCCTGGGCCGAGATCCTCACCCCGGGGGGCGCGCAGAGCGTGAGGGGCACGCAGTACGACGCCGTCTTCCTGGGTGAGCGGGGGGGGGGGTGGGGGTGAGGGTGGGGGTGAGAGTGGGGGTGGGGGTGAGGGTGGGGGTGAGTGAGGGGGCGAGCGATTGATAGATGCGAGCGGGCGAGCGAGCTCGCGGGGAAAATCTCTACACCGTCACCACCGCTATCCAGTGCCTGATTATCCTAGTAGCACAAGTAGCTACATGTGTAGTAGCTACATGTGTAGTAGCTACATATGTAGCTGCTACATGTGTAGTAGCTACTACATATATAGCTACAGGCCCCGCACTTTCAAGTGGCACGCGCTAAATGCTTTCAAGCTATCAATACCGGTTCAGCGATTCTGCACTTGCTCTGTTGCTCAACCTAGTAGCGATTTGTAATTAGAACCGTGTGCATTGTTTTCGGACGATCCCGCGATGTAACTTTAATGTGAATGAATGAAAATGTATTTAAACTTTAGTTGTGATATTGACATTCACTTCTCAGAGCTATGACTTGTTAATCAGTGCAAAAACTGTTAGGATTATTTGGGAGCTCTTAAGGGGTCTTAGGAAGTGGTGGGGGGGGGGGTCCTCCTCCCCCTCAGCCCCCACCCCTGTCGGCCCCTGAGCGTGCTGGCCCGATCAGCTGGCCACAGCGCCTTATCAGGGCGCACATCACCTCGGGGGCGTACATGTTTGGGAGGGGCGCACCTCTGGTTGGCTGCTTGCTCGCGGTCACGTGACGCACTTTAACCAATCCGTGCCGCGTTAATCACAGTCACAGAATGACAGAGCTGGGTGTTTATATAAATTTATAGTACGATACCGCCTTCAACTTTTACGAACGACTCGGTGTCTAATGTTATTGATTTGTCGTATTATCCGGTTGTATAGCAAACGAATAAATACAATTACGTTACTATGCAACTTAAATATTCGATTTAAAGCTTTCGTGACTGCAGGGATTATTCTTCTTGGTTCTTTCGGTAAAGTCACGTAGAATGGAAATAATAGAATAATAAAACATAATAAAATAATTCTCACGACGTTTCGGCCACAACGCAAGCAGCCGTCCTCAGGTGAAGACCAGGTCTGTCGGGGAGACAGCGTCTGACGCGCGACAGACCTGGTCTTCACCTGAGGACGGCTGCTTGCATGGTGGCCGAAACGTCGTGAGAATTATTTTTTTATGTTTTATTATTTTATTTCCATTCTACGTGACTTTACCGAAAGAACCAAGAAGAAGCTAAATATTCGTGTTTAAATCATTTAGGGCACTTAGCTTAATCCGGCACTGCCACTACCCCCCCCCCCCTCCCCCCCCAGCACTGGTGGTGGAGCAGCGCCACCTGGGTGAGATCGCCCGCGCCGGCTTCGACGGCCTCTACACCTACTTCGCCACCAACGGCTTCTCGTTCGGCTCGTCGCACCACAACTGGCGCTCGCTCAAGGCGTTCTGCGACGCCAACGGCCTCCTCTTCGTGCCCAGCGTGGGGCCCGGCTACGCCGACGCCAGCGTGCGGCCCTGGAACCAGCAGAACGCTCGCGGGCGAGTCCACGGCAGGTCGGGACCCCGCCGCCACCACCACCCCGTTCGTCCTATCGCCCGTTCATTCACTCGCCCATTCATTCACCCACTCGGTTCTTCACCCGTTCGTTTATTTACCCTCATTCGCCTGTTATGTCACCAGTTCGTTTAATCGCCTGTCCATTCAGTCATTCGCCCGTTGAGTCATTTATTTGCCCATTCACCCACTCGTTCATTCACCCGTTCCTTCACCCGTTTGTTCGCCCGTTCGTTCCTTCACCTGTTGTTTCACCCATTCATTTATTCACGCACTTATTCATTGACCCGTTTGTTCATTTGCCCTCTCATTACCCTGTTATTTCACCCCTTCGTTCACCTATTTATTCACCTGATATGTCACCCGTTTTATTCATTCGCCCGTTCATTCACCCGTTAGTTAATTAATTCACACACTTAATAATTCACCAGTTATTTCACCTGTTCATTCATTCCCCTGTTCATTCACCCATTCATTCATCTGTTATTTCACCCGGTCATTCATCCGTCCGTTCTTTCACCCGTACATTCTTTCACCTGTTCTTTCACCCGGGCATTTGTTCAATCATTAATTAATTCATCCGGTCTTTCATCCATTCATTAATTCACTCGTTCTTTCACCTGTTCGGTCATCATCCGTTCATTCAGCGTGCAGTCATGGAACCAGCATAGGTGTTTATTTTACGCTCACAAGACAAAGATCCCCCGTATAGCCTTTACAGACTGTTGGGGCAAGTGCTGTTAGCGAGTAGCACCGATGAAGGCCGGCACAGTACATGAGGTGATGGGTGGCAAGTGGCCATGGTTACACACAGCACCAGGGATTAATTTGAGGCTGAGTCGACCTAGGAGAGGTCCAGGACCAGTTCAGATAATCGTCACCGGTCTTGGAGTCCATGAGCGGTAATCAAACTCGGGTCGCCGGGTTCGTAGCGCAGCGCCCCAGCTGTTACCCTAAACCCGGGGACACACACACGCATTCATATATGTGTGTTGTGTGTGCCTGTGTGTGTGCCTGTTTGTGTGCCTGTGTGTGCGTGGTGGGAGCAGTTGTGTAGCGGTCAGCGCGCTGCGTTGCAAACCCGGCGACCCGAGTTCGATTTCTGCTCACGGCCACAAACACCAAGTGACGATTATCTGAACCGTTCCTGGGCCTCCCCTAGGTCGACTCGTACCTTAAATGAGTACCTGGTGCGGTGTTTAAACATCGCCACTGGGGAGACAAAGGCGGTCGGGCGTGGTGCTGGCCACCCACCCCCTCGTGTGCTGTGCCGGCCCATCGCAAGCGCCACTCGCTAGCAGCACTGCTAGGGGGCAGGAAATCTGAAATATTCGTGACGTCACGCGGGGGGGGGGGCCTCATGTGGAATGACGTCACGCACGGGACGGACAGACATTTCTGGATGATTATAGTCGGTAATAAGAGGTTATTTGGGTTAGATAGCGTAAGTATAGAAATTTGTCGTTAAACCCGCCACGACCCGATAACTAGTAAGGGTTGTTACGTAACCAGAACGTGGCCAATTCGTCACTAGTACAGCACTAGTGTACAGTGTATAGTGTATTGTAGTGTACTAGGACAGCACTAGTGTATAATGTAGTGTATTGTGTATAGTAGTGTAGTGTATAGTGCAGTATATTGTATAGTGTAGTGTATCGTGTAGTTTAGAGTAGTGTAGTGTATAGTGTAGTGTACAGTAGTATATTGTATAGTGTAGTGTATCGTGTAGTGTATAGTAGTGTAGTCAATAGTGTAGTGTATAGTAGTATATTGTATAGTGTAGTGTATCGTGTAGTGTATAGTAGTGTAGTGTATAGTGTAGTGTATCGTGTAGTGTATAGTGTAGTGTATCGTGTAGTGTATAGTAGTGTAGTGTATAGTGTAGTGTATAGTGTAGTGTATAGTGTAGTGTACTAGTACAGCACACCGGTGCGTTGGAGAGCCAAGCCACAACATTTACAATCTGAGTAACGACGTTTCGCCAGCAATTACGACCAACTTCATCAGGCGACGGCCATATTTGTGAAGAAGTCCACCTGCTTCGTTCCTTATACGAGGCTACGTGGGGGACCTTTGCCTTTGCGTGCCGCGCAGGTACTACGAGGCCGCGTTCCGCGCCGCCCTGCTCACGCGCCCGGAGATCATCTCCATCACCTCCTTCAACGAGTGGCACGAGGGCACGCAGATCGAGACGGCCATCCCCCGCAAGGGGAGGGGCCGCGACGGGGGGGCCGCGGGGGCGGGGGCTGGGGGGGGCGCCCCCTACCTCGACTACCTGCCGGGGGCCCCCGACATGTACCTGTCGCTCACCAGGAAGTGGGCCATGAGGCTGAGGAAGGAGAAGCAGCAGTGGCTCATGTGATGGGCGGCGCGGGGGGGGGTTACGGAGGTGAGCGTGTGGGAGGGCGAGTGAGAGAGAGAGACGGAGAGAGGGTGGGGAGAGTGTAGCGGAGAGAGAGTGTGAATGAGCGAGAGACACAGACTGCTGAGCGGTGGAGAGAGTGTGGCGGAGAGAGAGTGTGAATGAGCGAGAGACGCAGACTGCTGAGCGATGGAGAGAGTGTGGCGGAGAGAGAGTGTGAATGAGCGAGAGACGCAGACTGCTGAGCGATGGAGAGAGTGGTGGAGAGAGCAGGCAGAGTGTGAATGAGAGAGGGGAGAGTGAATGAGAGGGAGTGATGAGCGATGTCGAGAGTGGAGAATGTGAATGACAGTGTGGGGAGTGAGAGAGAGAGAGACGGAGAGAGGGTGCGGAGAGAGCGGAGAGAGAGTGTGAATGAGAGAGAGACACAGACTGCTGAGCGATGGAGAGAGTGGTGGAGAGAGCAGGCAGAGTGTGAATGGGAGGGGAGAGTGAATGAGAGGGAGTGATGAGCAATGGAGAGAGTGGGGAATGTGAATGACAGAGTGTGGGAAGAGGGTGGAGAGTGCAGTGTGTGTGTGTGTGTCGGATAGTGTATTTATTTAGATGAATACGTGCGAGAGAACATCTCCGTGTGTAACACTGTGGGTGTAGTGACTGTGAGGGGTTGTTGGTGTGTGTAGCAGTGTGTGTGGAGCAGCTTTTGTTCGGCCAGATCGAGGGGGCTAAACGGGCGCGGCACGGGCTGGAGAAGAGATGGAGTGATGTGGTACAGGAGGATGTGGAGCTGAGTGTACTTGCCGATGACTGGTACCAGCGGTGTCAAGATCGGCCTCTGTGGAGGAGGCTCGTGAAGGATGCTACTGGGCATTTGGAGGCAGTCGCCCTCCAACAACAACGGAGGGCGGAGGAGCGACGCTCACAACAACAAGCGGAGCGCCGGGTGGCTAAAGCACAGCAAGTTGGTACAGTAGGGGGCACAGGTGGTGCATCAGCCAGTCATCTCGGTCAGTCGACCCGTGGCACCTGGGTCTGCCCCGTGACCTCCTGCCAGCGGGCGTTCGACACTTCACGTGGCCTCAAGGTGCACTTGGCCTGGCACAAGCGTCGTGGTGACGTCACCGCCACTTAGTGGCGAATGGCGGTTGTTGTTGTTGTGGAGCAGCATTACCGTATGGCAACCACCAGCCACCACAGCCTGATCGACCGGTAACCACTACCACCACAGTGTTACCGACCACTAGCAAAGAGGTGGAGGTTGTTTTTGGCAGATGACGTGCGGTGTGGTGTGTGTGTGTCTATGTATATGTAGAGGAGCGGTGGCGCAGTTGTTGGCGCACTGCGCTACGAAGACCAGTGAGCCGAGTTCGATTCCCAGCCAGGGCTAACATCAGTGGGCGAGCGAGATTCTAAAGCGGTGTGCCTGCGGCCCCTCCCCTTGATTGTGTGTGGATCTTCGGCACCGGGGAGACAAAGGCAGTCGGGCGTGGCACAGGCCACAACGCCCCATCGTACAGGGGGGGAAATCGCGGTGGCTAGGAGATGTTAGCTCCCTCGCCTGGTATACAGGAGTTCGTGGGTTCCATCCCGACCCTTACCTGCTGTATATTACAGGTAGGAACAGCAGGTTCCACACTGCCCACCGAGGATTATTTGTTTGTCTGTCTGTCGTGCATAGCCACGCCCTCGATTTGTATTTAATAGAGCGCTTCGGGCGGACTCAGCACCACGTGACGCGTCGCCCCACGCAGCTTGCGTCACGTGACGCGGATCGCACGAATGCGCCGTCCAACCAAGTTCCTACCTGCCCACTCCGAAGGAACGCGTTTGGGGTTTGCGTGTCTCTCCGTGGTCACGTGGATTTTTCTCCGGCGCCCTCCAGTTCTTCCCTTCGGCATTTCGAATCGACGTCGCGCGTTTCGAGAATATTGCTGCTGCTATAAATGTCCATGCGATGATGACGACGATGACGATGATGATCCCAGATTTTAAGCTTTCGTGACTGCAAGGAATTCATACTCTTATTTTTTTCGTGACTTTACCGAAAAAACTAGGAGTATGGATGATGATCCCGCTTCGTTGGAGCAATCATTTGTGATGACCCGGTCGTTTCTGAAAAAGAGCTAGGGAGCAGCTCATTGGGCCTTACCCAGTAAAATGAAAAAAATTAGTTGTCTTTTTAGTTTGTATGGGTGCATACTCTTTGATTCTTTCGGTAAAGTCACGTAGGGTATAAAATAAATGAAATCGCGACGTTTCGGGCGCAACACAAGCGTCCGTCATCAGGTGGGACAACCACAGCAAGAAACAATTGCTAAAGTGTGTCTGGGTGCGTCGCTCCGGGCCTTAATAGGGGCTCGCTAACGGCACTTTCCCCAACCGCCTGTGTGGGCTACACGGCCGCGGCAGGGAATCGAACTCTTCCCGGGTGCGAGCGAGCGAGCGTGCGTGCGTCTCTGTTCGTGCACGTCAACACCAGAAGAATTTTTTTATAAATGAGTGAGTGCGAGACTCTGCGGTGGTGGTGTGTTCCGTGTGTTAATATAGAGTGTTCATAGAGAGTGTTAATAGAGAGTGTTGGAGTGTGCTTGAGTTGCTGCCTGTTGGCCGAGTTTAACTCGGACAATTCTGGAACTGGAATCTTGAGTTTTCGGGAGGAAGGAATTGATTTCTAACCGTGACGTGGTACCGGTTTGGTGTTGAACTTCATTGTGATTCACCGCAAAGTTTTGATAACAGTGCTAGGCTGACTGAGAAATAATTGCGTGTTTGGTGTACAGTGGTAAAATAAGGTGGTCCTACCACTCGCTCGTCCACGCACTCATTCATCCACTCACTGATCCACTCACTCATTCATCCACTCATTCATCCACTCACTCATTCATCCACTCACTCATCCACTCATTCACTAATCCACTTTGTCACTCATCCACGCACTCACACATTCACTCACTCATTCATCCACTCACTCACTCATCCACTCACTCATCCACTCACTCACTAATCCACTTTGTCACACATCCACGCACTCACACATTCACTCACTCATTCATCCACTCACTCATTCATCCACTCACTCATCCACTCACTCATCCACTCACTCACTAATCCACTTTGTCACTCATCCACGCACTCACACATTCACTCACTCATCTACCCTCACACATTCACTCACTCCAGTCACTCATCCACTCACTCACCCACTTCCCCTTTGACTCAATTACTCACTCGCCCACCCATTCAATTACTTACCCATCCACTCATTCATTAATTTACCGAGCCACTCACCCACACATTCACCCACGCATTCACAAACTCGCCCACTAAATAACTCGCTCACCCATTAATTTATTTCATTAGTCACCCACCCGCTCGCCCACCCACTCGCCCACCCACACACGGACTCACTCGCCCACCCACCGGGGTTGCTGCCTATCTGGAAGATGTGTCGAGGTTTTATCCGAGGAGAGGTATCAACCGAAGTGTGTGGGCGAGAGTGTGCGTTCGCGCGCACGCGTGTGAGTGTACGTCCTGTCATTCTTAGTGTGGCTGTGTGTATACGATAGTAATTATTATGCGAGTGTGTATTTATACAAGCGTGCGTGTTTGTGTTTATATTTGAGGTGTGTGTGTGTAAGCACAATGTTATCGTGTTATTATGACTCTCTGCATTATCCCTGTGTATAGCTTCACGTGCGTTTTTCCAGCCTTCGTGTAGTCATATTGCCATGACCACACACGGGTGTGCACTTGTGTGTGTGTGTGTGCATGTGTACACGTGTGTGTGTGTGTATGTACACGTGTGTGTATGTAAACGTGTACACGTGTGTATGTGTATGTACATGTGTACACGTGTGTATGTATATGTACATGTGTACACGTGTGTATGTATATGTACACGTGTGTGTACACGTGTGTGTGTGTCTGCGCACGTGTAAACGTGTGTATGTACGTACACGTGTAAACGTGTGTATGCACGTGTACACGTGTCTGTGTGTGGTTGCATCGTGGGATCGCGAGAGTTTGGCAGCAGTGGCAGCTTTTGGGGGGTGGGAGGCATTCATCCAGCAGTGGATTGACCGGGTCATGACGATGTGAACCTTCAACGTGCACAGGCACCACAACTCGTGTCAATCCGCTGCTGGATGAGCGCCTCCCCCACACCGCGCGTCACTGGGGATCACTTCACCGTACTTAAGCCCCCGCCGCTGGTCACTTGCCGGTTCGGTGAAGGCGGGGAGGGAGCAATGGACGTGGGAGCATAGGAAGTACAGCACAACAACGGGGGGGGGGGGGGGGGTTTCAGCACTGCTGTCCGCCGCTCGAAGCGTGGCCTCGCAAGCCTATAGCACCTGTCGAGGGACTCAGCTACTTACGAACGAGTGAGGTTCCAGAGGTACTGTTCGTAAGTCGATTTGTTCGCGAGTCCAACTTTACTGCTGTTGATTCCAAGCGTGTTGTACAGCGTGTACACTAGACACGGGGAATGGCTTTAAAAGTTTAATCTCCTGTAGATGTAGATGCCACTGGTTCTTCATGTTATGTAGAGGCCACTGGTTCTTCATGTTCTGCAGATGTAGATGCCACTGGTTCTTCACGTTCTGCAGATGTAGATGCCACTGGTTCTTCACGTTCTGCAGATGTAGATGCCACTGGTTCTTCACGTTCTGCAGATGCCACTGGCTCGTCATGTTCTGCAGATGTCACAGGTTCTTCACGTTCTGTAGATGCCAGTGATTCTTCACGTTATGCAGATGTAGATGCCACTGGTTCTTCACGTTCTGCAGATGTAGATGCCGCCATCTGTTACACGGCGGCTGAACTTACGACGCTCGGTCAGCTACAACTGGACATAGGGACCAGGTGTGTTCGTGTTTCCGAAAGTTCCATCAGTCGAATGCTCGTAAGTAGAGGCGCTCCCTGTATATGCGCGGCGGACGCCCATCCAAACACCGACGCCTGCTTAGCTTGTGATATCAGTTTACAATTCCGGGTGATTGTGCCCTTGGGGGTGCACACCACTGTGTGCTTGTGTAGAACGACACGCGTGTGTACTGTGTGTCTGTGTGACGGGAGCGGTGGTGCAACGGTTAGCTCGCTGCGCTACGAACCCGGCAACCCGAGTTCGATTCCCGCTCACGGCCACCGCCAACACCAAGTGACGATTATCCGAACCGGTCCTGAGCCCTCTCCTAGGTCGACTCGGCCTCAAACGAGCACCTGGGTGGGTTGCGTAAACATCGCCACTGGGGAGACAAAGGCGATTCTGGCCACAACTTACCCCTCCTCGTGTGTCACGGTGCCGGCCTTCTTCGGCGCTGCTACTCGCGAACAGCACTTGCCCCGACAGTCTGTTAAGGCTGCACGGGGGATCTTTGTCTCTTTTGGAGAGGGGCATTTTTCGAAGCTTGCAGCATCGTTGTGTTCAACTGCCCGTGCCGGGCGGTAGGGGAGTCTAACCGGCGTCTTGAACTTCTTTCGCACCGTACGTAGCAGTAAAATAAGTTCAACATTCGTATGTGGAGGTAAAACGTACGTATGTTTAATTTATTTCACACCTTACATAGCAGTAAAATAAGTTCAACATTCGTATGTGGAGGTAAAACGTACGTATGTTTAATTTATTTCACACCTTACATAGCAGTAAAATAAGTTAACATTCGTATGTGTGTCGAAGTCAAAATACGCACGTACTTTGAACCTCTTTCGCAGCGTGCGTGGAAACTGCTACCGCTGTAGCAGCAGCGGCGTCACCGTCATCCAGAGGTCGCAACCGAGTACCCGATACCCGTACCCTACCCGATACCCGGCCGGGTACGGGTACCCGTTTGCGACCCTGGTGCGGCCGGGTACGGGTAGACTGTGAGTCACTGGTGAGTCACCGTTTGTCACTCATTTCCCAACGTCTTGTCTCTTCTCACAATTCAAGTTCCTAGAATCAACCCACCCGCGCCTGCAACATGGCTTCATCCCAGAGGTCGCAATCAGGTACCCGATACCCGTACCCTACCCGTACGGGTAGGGTACGGGTACCCGTTTGCGACCCTGGTTCGGCCGGGTACGGGTAAGGAATCAACTCGTTTGCGACCTCTGCCGTCATCCCGTTCAGAGGTCGCATCCACGAGAATCGGGAACAAAACGAAGCCTGCCACGTCAACAATTCTGGGACCCCCTCTTTGAATCAAAATAAAATCCCGGTGGGTGGCGGTGGTGGGGGGGAGGGGTTGGGGGGGGGAGGGCAGGATTCCGTGATGAGAGATTTCGCCCTTTTAATCACCCGACACTTTGCGATAAAACAAAAAAACTTAAATCATGGAGCGGTCTTGGGCGGTGGTGGGGGGCTCTGTCGGAGCCGCGTGTGCGGTGGCTCTTTTTAAAGGGGGGGTCCTGCCCCTGCCGCCCCCCGCCCCACCCCCACCCAGTGGACACTGGACATCTGTGATGATTAAAAAAATTTAAAGAAATTTGTAGCTCATCGGATTCCTCCGCTAGAAATTCAGATTCTGATTGCTCGCAGGAAGAGTTGGGGGGGGGCGGGGCGGGGGGTGTGGGGGGCTGGTGAAGGTTGCAGTAGCCCAAGTAATTATTATTAAATAATGATTCCATAGTTATTCAATAATTGTGATTATTTAATAATTATAATTGTATTTTTATAATTATGCTTATTCAATAATCGTTATAAGTATCATTGATTCCGCTTCTTGCTGCTGCTGCTGCTGTTGTGTTCAGAGGGAGTCCTGCCTCTTGTGATTGTTCGCAGTCCGAGTGTGTGGGGGGGTAGGGGTGGTGGGTAGGGGTGGTGAGTGTGGATAGTGGTGGTGAGTGTTGGTAGAGGTGGTGTGGGTAGTGGTGGTGAGTGTTGATAGAGGTGGTGTGGGTAGTGGTGGTGAGTGTTGATAGAGGTGGTGTGGGTAGTGGTGGTGAGTGTTGATAGAGGTGGTGTGGGTAGTGGTGGTGAGTGTTGGTAGAGGTGGTGTGGGTAGTGGTGGTGAGTGTTGGTAGAGCTGGTGTGGGTAGTGGTGGTGAGTGTTGGTAGAGGTGGTGTGGGTAGTGGTGGTGAGTGTGGGTAGAGGTGGTGTGGGTAGTGGTGGTCAGTGTTGATAGAGGTGGTGTGGGTAGTGGTGGTGAGTGTTGGTAGAGGTGGTGTGGGTAGTGGTGGTGAGTGTTGGTAGAGGTGGTGTGGGTAGTGGTGGTGAGTGTTGGTAGAGGTGGTGTGGGTAGTGGTGGTGAGTTTTGGTAGAGGTGGTGTGGGTAGTGGTGGTCAGTGTTGGTAGAGGTGGTGTGGGTAGTGGTGGTGAGTGTTGATAGAGGTGGTGTGGGTAGTGGTGGTCAGTGTTGATAGAGGTGGTGTGGGTAGTGGTGGTGAGTGTTGGTAGAGGTGGTGTGGGTAGTGGTGGTGAGTGTTGATAGAGGTGGTGTGGGTAGGTGGTGGTGTGGGTAGTGGTGGTGAGTGTTGATAGTGGTGGTGTGGGTAGTGGTGGTGTGGGTAGTGGTGGTGTGGGTAGTGGTGGTGAGTGTGGGTAGTGGTGGTGTTGGTAGTGGTGGTGTGGGTATGGTGGTGTGGGTAGTGGTGGTGTTGGTAGTGGTGATGGGGGTAGTGGTGATGTGGGTAGTGGTGATGTGGGTAGTGGTGGTGTGTGTAGTAGGTGGTGTGGGTAGTGGTGGTGTGGGTAGGTGGTGTGGTGTGTGTAGTGGTGGTGTGTGTAGTGGGTGGGTGGTGAGCTGGTGGTGTGGGTGGAGTGGTGGGGTGGGGTAGTGGTGGTGTGGTAGTGGGTGGTGTGGGTAGTGGTAGTGTGGGCATGTGGTGGTGAGTGTTGAATTAAGGGTGGTGTGGGGTAGTGGTGTGAGTGTGGTAGAGGTGGTGTGGGTAGTGGTGGTGTGGGTAGTGTGTGTGGGTATGTGGTTTGGTAGTGGTGGTGTGTGTATGGTGGTGTGGGTAGTGGGTGTGTAGTGGTGGTGAGTGTGGATAGAGGTGGTGGGTGTGTGTAGTAGGTGGTGTGTGTATGGTGTGTGGGGTAGTGGTGGTGGGGGTAGTGTGGTGTGGTAGTGGTGGTGTGGGTATGGTGGTGTGGGTAGTGGTGGTGAGTGTTGATAGTGTGGTGTGTGTAGTGGTGGTGTGGGGTAGTGGTGGTGTGGGTAGTGGTGTGTGTGTAGTGGTGAGTGTGAGTAGTGGTGGTGAGTGTTGATAGTGGTAGTGTGGGTAGTGGTGGTGTGTGGTAGTGGTGGTGTGTGTAGTGGTGGTGTGGGTAGTGGTGGTGTGGGTAGTGGTGGTGTGGGTAGTGGTGGTGTGTGTAGTGGTGGTGTGAGTAGTGGTGGTGTGGGTAGTGGTGGTGTGTGTAGTGGTGGTGTGGGTAGTGGTGGTGTGTGTAGTGGTGGTGTGGGTAGTGGTGGTGTGTGTAGTGG